CTGAGACCCCGGAAGCCCAGTCCCAGTGTGAGGGTCCACCCCTGATGCCCGATTGGCAGAGTCCCAGAGTGACAGATTGGCCTGCTGGCCCTACTTAAGCCCGCAGCAAGAACAGGAAGCTGTCTGAACAACTGGGCTCCCCTCTGGTCTGTGAGTCTCGTACTACCCACTCCTGCTACCATCTGCTTCTGCTCCGCTAGCTTGGATTTCCTGGCATCTGACTTGTGGCTCCTGACTTCTAGTTTATCTCCTGCTTCTGACCTCCCGGTGTCCTGACTCGGCTGACTTTTGACTCCTATCTTATGACTGTGGGCTCTGGCTCTGACTTCTAAGCATGGCTGCCCATGAGCCAGCTCTGACATAGAGGGTACTGCAGGTCATGATTGAGGTGCATTTGCAGAGCTGCAGGGAGCCTAGGACTGGAATCAGAGGAGATCTTTCACAGAAGATTGTGCGTAAACAGAGGTGTTTGATAGGAAAGCTTGTATGGCAGTTGGTGCACTAGGCCAGAATCTAACAAGTGCTGTCACTCTCCCTGTGAGCTCTGAAATTCACAAAACTGAAACAAAAAGGAAATCAGAGCTGAGAAAATCTCATGTCTCCTGAAAATTGCTTTCAAGCTGTGGTATACTGAAAGGAACATTTTACTTGGCTATTACTGTCAAGACGCTGACTCAGACACCTACAAAACTGTAAGGTTTTCACTCTGTTTTTTGATTGTCTGCACATAGTTCCATTTGTCTTTATCTCAGATAATATGCATCATTGAGCAGCAAGCTGGGGAAAAAGGCAGACAGCTATGACTTCAGATTTGGTCGTACCTCAAAAAACGCGACTGTCCTAATTTTCAGGCTGGGGTCTCATTCTCTCAGGTAAATTACAATGAAATACTTTTGTCTAATGGGATTTCTCTGCATTCACTTTGTTCTGTCTTGGAATATTATGCCAGGGTTTCTCAATTCTATTCTCTTGTTTTTAGTGTCTGACTCTCACTTGGTCTTATATTTGTCCTCACTTTATTACAAATTAAAATGCCACGTCCACCACCAGTCTGAGACTATGTAATAATTTATCTGACATTCAAGTAGAAATGCTAACATCTAAATATCATTATGGATAATGTCCATCTGGTTTGAAATCTAGTTCTGATCATAAAGAACAGCACTTGGCTAGCTCTCCATTAGTGCTGCCAGCAACCAGCTGTTCCTGTTCAGTGATCATGGCTTTGCCAAATATATGTTGTTCCTGGTCTCCTTTAGCCCAGTACAGAATAGCCTGATGGGGCTGGAATGCTTTTAAACTTGGGTCATTCTCTGATCTCTCCATCAAGTGCTTTCCTGCATATATGTACATGGACTTATTCTGACTCAGTAATTTGTTTTTACAAAGCCTATTTTGATGTGGCTCGCAAGTTAAACTGTTGCTTGCCTTTCTGGCAAAAACAACAGTCTTTGAATGATCCGACTGGCCCACAGCTTGCAAGCCTTTATTCTCTTTCTGAACATCAAATCAAATCCACTGCATGCATCCGATGAAGTGGGTTTTAGCCCACGAAAGCTTATGCTCAAATACATTTGTTAGTCTCTAAGGTGTCACAAGTACTCTTGTTCTTTTTGCGGATACAGACTAACATGGCTGCTACTCTGAAACCAGTCAAATCAAACTGTCTTTCAGTAACAGAGCAAGGCTCCCAGTGTTGTGACACAGTCTACTCTGGCTTGGCTACTGAATGAAACAGTTGCTCACCTTTCTGTTCTGACTTTCTGCAGCTGCCAGAGCACTTGCCACTGCCCAAGCTCTATCTGCACCTTGACCACAGGCTCCTCAGTGCATACTCTGTCCCAAACTTCAGGCTACCCCCCATTCAAAGCGAGCTTCTGCCACCTCTGCCTGCTTCCCTAGCCCTGCAGGGCAAGCGTCCTCTCTGCGCCAGAGAGGCACATGGGCTCCTCTCCCCAGAAGTGAAAAATCAATGCACACTAACATCCGTGGATTCATTGTGCCGTTGGAGTGAGTTACAGAGCGTTGATGTGACAGTTTTATAGTGGTCTCATTACAAAGATGCGAACACAAACTTTGGAGCCAGTCTACTAAGGATGTGAGTCATTGTTTTCCATTACCTTATGTGGATAAGCTGGACTCAAATCAAGGGCTTGACCTAGCAGATGATTTTGCTGACAGTCTGTTAACAAGGATTTTGTTTAAATGCTTCAAATAATTAAATATGGGGATGAACCAAAACTCGAGTTCCAAACACTCCTGAATTTTGTGGGGGAGGGGATGGGATACATGGGCCTGAATCCAACCCTGGATCTGGATTTTGAATCTGGGCCCATCTCTATATATTGGGCTAATGGTAAACCCTAGATCCAAACAGCTCTGAATTTTTGGGGATTCAAATTCCAGATCAGGATTCTTGCAGCTGGAGCTCTCTCTACTAGCAGTGTCCAAGCTGGCTGCATGTCCTGGGATGACAAAGGGTATTGTGTAACCACACCCATAGGTCTGGCAACCACTGCTATTAATATTGATGTTGATCTTTAACTAGCAGGATCCTCCCTTCCCCACACACTCTCTGCCCATCCGCACGCTCCCCCTTTTCCATTTGAGACAATGCCTCAACTTCATTTTGGGGACTGGAACTGTCTCTCTCAGCTCCCAGATCAAGTGGAAACTGAAGCTGGCAGCTACCAGGTGATTCATGTGTGAGCGAAAGTCTGGGCTAACAAGGAGAGTGTCTGGGAACAGAGATATGGCAGAGTGGGCTTCTCTCCACGCCTTCCTAACTCGGGTGACCAGACAGCAAGTGTGAAAAATCGGGACAGGGGATGGGGGGTAACAGGAGGCTATATAAGAAAAAGACCCAAAAGTCAGGACTGTCCCTATAAAATCGGGACATCTGGTCACCCTGTTCCTAACTCAGTTTCCAGCTGTCAGCTACCTGATAACTTTTCAGTGCTGTAAGCACTAAAGAGCAGAATGAGATGGGAAAGATGCACCGAGCAAAGTCACTCTACTGCACTCCCATGTCCGCTAACATACTCAAGGCTGGGGGCTGTATTGAAAGGTATGCATTATATTGGCCACCACTAGGTTCAAATATAGTTCCCAGAAGGCTGGGAAAAATCCTGTTGTCCAGAAGTCCAGGACAAGAAGGGTGCAACTTGGGCATCAAGTGTCCTGCCATCCAAACAAGGAGGAGAGCTGGGGGTGGGCTCTGTGGCCCCAGGCTCAGCAGCGGCACTCTGACCCCCTGTAAGTGGGGAGAGGTGGGAGGGGCAGAGTAGAGGAAAGAGAATTGAGGTACTTTGTGAGAGGGGAAGGAGCAAAGCAAGAGAACTCAGTTGCTCTCTAGAGTTGATGGGGATGGTCCTAGACAATACAAATAATGTCTTGGGAGAAGATGGTAGGAACAGGGAGATGTACACCACTGAAGGTGTCTGAGGGTGAGCCTCAAGGAACATGTTCTCTGTTAGTGCCCTCAGCACAGGGCTATGGTGAATGGGGAGGAAGAGATTTGGACTTTTCATGATCTGGGCTTCGCAGCTGCAGATGAGTGGTTCAAAGGCAGCTGCAGGGGTGGGGGAGGGTGGCAGGGCAGGCACTCATCTTGGCCTCGGAGACACGTGGCAGAGGAAGCAGGTGGTTAGGGTGGCTGTGGCAGAACGGTCCCTGCTGCCTCATCCCGGGCACCAAGAACACCCGACATCCTGCTCCTTGCCCCAGATTTAACCCTGGTGTGGAAACAGCCTTCCCCCATACCCCACCGCCCCTGAAATGATGCAGCTCCACCCTGCTGCTGTTCTTCACCCAGCCCAGCTCCAGTCCCCTCTTCCTGGAGCCAAGGAGAGGCGGTGAGCTGGAGGAGGAGCAAGGCCTGGGCTGCCCTGTCTTGCACTCTCCCTAGGTACAGCGGAAATACTGTGGGGAGGGAAACATAGATCAGCCCCCACAATATTGCCATTGTTAGGGTGCTAGGCCCCACTGCTCCCCCGGTTCTCCCCTCCCTGGAGGAGGGGGCAGTTGATGATCTTGGCAGCTGCCAGGATCCTCTCTGCGACTGGGAGGAGGACTCAGGAAGGCACTTACAGAGAGCTGAGTGACCTAATTACGCAGCTCGGGATACATGTGGTCGCCCAGAGGGGGAAAGACCCAGGAAAGTACAGCCCTCTTGGGTTATCCTTGCAGGGTTAATTTTGACAGTGAGAGTTGTCCCAGCATATTCACAGTGACCGCTCTTCGAGAGACTCCTGCATTAACCAACGCTCTGGAGACATCTATGCTCCTGGTTCCCATAGATGGGCCTGGCTGAATTTCCCATAGATGGGCCTGGCTGAATGCTTTTAAAATCACTTTCCTTTTGGCAAGGGCTAAATTCAGACATGTGTAGTACTTTACAGCAGATGGTGCTGTGGACTGGTCATAGGCTATGCAGCTTCATGCCTCTGAGCTACCAAGGCAATAGGTACCTTAGCAAAGATGCCAGCACAGCCCTGGACGATGCAATGCTTGTTCTCCCTTGCTGCTGAGGGAAGCACAGAAGTCAGGAATAGAAGAGCCCTAGTAAGTCCCATTCATTTTCTAGAAGTGCAGGATCGTTCCCCTCTTGTGCTTTGTCCATTCCAGTTAACAACTCAGGCCTCAAACCCAATTTGGTCCTGGCTGTGTGAGGCACCTGTCTCCCCACCCCAAGAGGCGAGGTCAGCTTTGAGTGATAAGCACATTTTACATATTTCTAAATAAGTAAATGACGACGCATTCACCACTTCCCTTGGGTATCTCAGAGCAATGTGATCTGTATCCCATCCCTAGTAACGGGAAGGGTCACATCAGAGTTTATGAAAGACAAGAGATGTACATGTGGGGGATGAATCCTAGAATCTAGACATGGAAGAGACCTTTTAGTTTATATGGTCACCTTGCCAGTGCCAATTCTTTGTCTTTAGGCAACACTAATACCAACATAGGACAGTGACAGCATTATGAAGGCGGTACAGTACCTGTCTGCCGTCTTTCTGATTGCATGCTTCCAGTGTGATCTGAGATCCGGTGGAGAAGGAGGTGATGGAGAGACACTTATCTTGTTGTCTAATTAAAGGGTCACTGAAGACCCACTCCTTTGGAGGAGAAAACAAAAAGATACAGATTCCATCATTATGGTAGCAATGATATAACAGAAAAATGAGCCAAATCCTGGAGTCCTCTCTCAGTCCTTACCAGAGAAGAGACTCCCATGGACTGAGCTGGCAGGTCTGGCACCAGGCTTTGAAGTCTGTGTTCAGGTTTGGGGAACCCTGACATGTGAACTTCAAAACCTGTCCAGCTGGCTTCCAATAGTCAGATTATCTTTGGGTTCCAAGTGTCTCCCTGCACAGCACCCTTACGTAACCAGGGTTCTACTGGCCTGCAAAGCAGCTAAGACCCTGTCTCCTAATTGAGGTAATGGGCAACAGTTTCTGATTATTTTACATAATAGGCAAATGCACTGCCTACTTCTCCCAGGAGTCAACAGCAATTGTCCAATGTGGATAACAGACAGTTTATCAAATTAGGCAAAACACATACATTTAAACCCACACGCTTCCATACAGCACACACACATCCATAGAAAATAAGCCATTGCATTGATCCATCATGCCACTTGACAGACACCCATCCCATCGAGTATTAAGGTTATTATTCACTGGGACGGTGGCCCAGCAGAGGGACCGAATGCAATACATTTCAGTGACTTTAAACAATAGTGAAATGGCACAGTGAGTCTGATTAAATGGCATGTTGGATGCTGGCTGCAAACTTGTTCCCAACAGATAACAGATGTGAATGAGCATTTGCTGGCATGAAATAGCTTACTGGGACCCTTTGTTCACTTAGGCTGCTTCCCTGCTGTAGCAAGGCTGTCAAATGAGAAAATCTTGGGCTGGTGTAATGTAGTCCCCCATTGAAGTAACAGGGACTATGCCAATTTACAGCAGCTGGGGTCCTGGCTGCTTACCATAAAGTGTGGCTTTATTCAGAAAAGCCACTGTAAAAATGGCATCTTCTTACTTAACAGATCTTTTCCCTCTAAGTATTATTTGCTGACTTTTAGTGACAAGTATTCTCTCCCCCTATGTCTTACATTTTGTTAGCTCTGTGGAGCCAACACAACTTCAGGAGCAGGACCTGAGTTCTATTCTGGCTCACCCATCATCAACAGTTATTAGCTAAACTCCAACTGCAGAGCCAAATTCTCCCCTCAAATTACACCTGAGCAAATCCATCAAGGACAGATTCTGGCTTAGAGAATCTCCGTTACATGTGGTGATGTGCATGACTTTCAGACCCCAGGTGGAGTTTGCAGGGCTGGCAGCTAGGAAACAACCCACACATCTTTTTCTCATAACCCAGAATGCTGTTTTACTAAATCACTTCTCAGATTAGGATTGCACTTTGGTATGATTTTATTTAAAGAGGACAGTGTTGGGTCAAATTTGATCCAGAATGTAGCTTTTGGAAAAGTCCTTTTTTTTTGGTTTGTCCCCTTCCATGGAATAAGCTGTGGGGCTGCAAACGCACACCCTACAGATCCACACAGATTCTGGGGTAGTGGGGGGAGAATCTATGATGGCTCTGGTAGCATGCCACTTGGTAGCAGAGCTGCAATTGCTAGCATTGGAAAATTATTTACGTTTTATTTATGTTCAGTCTTATTAGTAACATAAAGAAATGAGGTTTCTTTAAAAACTGCTTTTTAACCAGACACTGCCCCTTACAAATACTGTTTTAAAAAGTACTTTCAACATTTTTATTTAAGTGCAGACTTTCTTTCCTGAATAAGTATTTAAATATATTCTTCCAGTAATTATAGCAAAGATTTCAATTTCCACCAGCATCTGTGCCAGTTAAGAGTATATTAACCACTTCAAAATCCTGTGAATGTTTGTATTGTGCTCAGAAAGTGGTGTCTGTACGCTCCCATGGACTCAGGCCAAATACTCCAGTGTAATGCATGAACCCTAGTGCAGCTCACCTTTAGCAGGAATAATGTGTCCCTTCTTTACTGTATTTCAGTGCCTGGATACTATGGTAATTCACACTATAAGGATGAGATAGGCAGAGAGAATGAGAAGTAGCTCAACTCCTGAGTGCTCACTGTAGCACTCAAGGGTTAATGGAGCATTGCCTGTGAATCTGTATATGTTCATTAATGTCCATCTCACTGAATCAATATCTAATACAGTAGATCAGGATCACCCAAACTTTGTCAAACTGAAGGCCATGGTTACAATTTGCCACGAAGCCCAAGGCCCACATCAAGTTTGCATAAAATGGAGACGCCTGAGGCCACCCCAGCTTGGAAACAGAAATGTGGCCAGTGGAGAACACAAGTCCCAGCATGCAATGCTTCAGCTTAATCTGAGCGGTTTGATTGTGGGCCATATTGTCAAACTCTGACTCGCATGTTGTCCACCCCCTACAGCAGAAAGACTGTAACTTATTATAAGGCTGTGCAGAAGTGGCTACTGTTGTCTGTCAGGACACACTGCCGAGGGTCTCAGATATTCCAAAGATCACACACACACACCTTTCCTAAACATTTATCCTCCCAGTACCACTGTGTCAAAGCTGCTAAAAAGCAGCAAGCAGGAGTAAAGAGCCAAATTCAAGCCTGCCTCACCTGGCTGACAGGGGGATTGCTCACTGTCCCTTTGCAGCCTCCCACACCAGCCACAGAATTTCCTGCTGTGTCCTGGCCCCAAGACTCCAGGCACTGTCCTCCTTGTCTGATAATCCCAGGAACCAGCTCCTTTTCAGGAACCCTGGGAGAAAAATAACAACAGTTGCATGGCACCTTATAGCCAGAAATGTCTCAATACACTGTATGCATTTATATCGAGCGTCCACCTCTCGAGTGGAATACAGAATGCAGTTACACCGCACAATAGTTGGGGCCAGCAAATGAAGAATATTATACCCAATAGAAATGTCTGTGGGAATTCGAGGAGGCAGAATGTGAGTTAGGATTTGGCCAGAACTCTGTATTAGTATCCCTTACTTTCAAAAGGGATCCTTAATATCCCCAATGAGTTAGGACTTCAGGGTTGCATCTCCTCTGAAAGACAGCACCTCCAGCAAAAAGCTATGTCTATGCTAGCCTCCCCTGCCCCAAATTTCCCCATTGCTACCATCAGTTCATCTCCACTGTGGTAACAACTAGCACTCCGCTAGTGTGGACAGGGCTCCAGACGGCTATCAACTTTTTAACCACCATCATCTAACCCTACTGAGTCTTAGGCTTTGTCTAGACTAGGATTTAAAGGGGTGTTGTTAGATTGTGTTAGCTAACATATTCTAATAACACAGCCCTAGTGTAGACATGGCTGCTCACTAACACGGGGCTAGGGCACTGGTTCAGTACTGACTCAGAAGGAAGAGTGCCAGTTACCAGTTCACAAAGACCAGTTGCTACAGAATCTGGGATTTTCCTTGAAAATCTCCCATCTAAGTCCTGCGGCAGACCCAATTCCATGTAGTTTGTTCCTTGGGAGCTCCAGGCTCTATATGATTATGTCACTGTGACTCCAGAGTCAGAGGCCCTAGTCTTAGGTCTAATGGTTAATCTGGCCCTGGACTTCAGTACAGTGGGCAGCAAAAATGCTGGAGCCTTAGATTAGAGGGAGCTGTACTCCACACTTCCAGCAATGCCATAAGCATGTATACAAACCATACCTTAACAAGCCACTTTATTTCAGATCCCTGAGGCACCCGAAATTCAGAAACAGGTATTCACACAACAGAGCGTTAAGATCTTAACAGACTCATCTCCAGAGGTCTGTTAGTCTGCAGCTCTTCTTCCATCAACACACATCCTGATTTCCTTGGACTGCATGTCCTCTCTCCCTATGAACAATGGGTGCTGCCCCACCTGGCTTCCTGAAGGTCTCCTAATAGAGCTCTCTATCCCACAAAAACACCTGCCCTTGCCACTCCTTCCCTCTCCCAAAAATGTACTCTTTCCACCTGCCCGCCTCCTGGCTGCCACCTCTCCCCACTTACCTTGTAGAGATCCTTTTCCACCTCCCTGTTCCCAGGTCCCAGCTCAAATGTCCAAGCAGGAACTGGTGGTGGGTCAAGAGGAAGTGCAGGCCAGGAAATCAAGGAGGGTTTCTCGCCAAAAAGAGAGGGGTGAGCAGGATTTACTCTGAACATGAGAGTCCTGATTTCCTACTTCCCAGCTGCCACAGATCTTCCTCAATTCTGAGGCTAGTGCTTTCCTCCCTGGCCTAGATCCTGCATCCTTTCAGAGAGTTGGTTTCCAGCTTTCTAAGAGTTGAGGATTAACTCACTTGAGCTCTGGGTAGACATTCTCCAGGTACCACTGGAAGGATTTACAGTTTAGTTTCCTGCGTTGCTCCATGCGGTCTGCAATACTGGAAACAAAAGCATGTTGTTCAGAATGCTACAGTGAACGGAGATGATGAGGGGTAGCAGGGAGGGCAGGGCTAGTTTTCGGGATGTGTGAAGCTGTATAACGTTGCCCCCTTGCCCTTGGCCTGCTGGCCAATGTGATGGGGGCAGAGCAGGGACATTGAAGTAAGTGAGAGACAAGGAGGGGCGAGTGCAGAGGCCTCCTGATGTGGGAGGGGACTGAAGAAACAAACACACACTCTGGCAATTTCTTGCACTTCCTCTAGCTCAGGGAAAAACAGCACAGTACGGTGGCACCACTAGAGAGCTGAGAAGGTGTCTTCACTGTTGTATGTCCCTGTGGGGCTCTATTGGAAGAGAGAGACGCAGACAACTGCTGGTTCCCAGACTGGCTTGGGAAGCTAAACAGGTCACTCCCAATGATCAAGGGTGTGTTTAATCATTTTTGTAATTGATTTTTTCCTGTGTTCACAGTGACTCCTTGGAAACTTTAAATGTAAATGGTCACTTAAAAAAACAACTGCATTGTCACTCTAGGGCTCCTTATGGCTGTGCTGCACGCACTGGCTCATCAGCGTCCCGTAGCTCGGGAGCTGGCATTTGGCACTGATTTTGTTTTCCCTGGAAGAGGAGACGTGAAGCTTTTGTTCTAAAGGAAAGAATACATCAAGGGTTAAATGATGGCTGTTACAGACCAGGGTGCGCTATTGGCATGGGGTAGATGAGCAGCTATAGTGCGTGAGTAGTGGAGAAGGCACAAAGCACTGGGGGCATAATGTCTCCATATGGCTGGGGGGGAAGCAAGGGACTGTCCTCTGCTGCTGCACTCCATAGCCCTGTATTAAAGCTATTCAGTGCACTCTCCTCCACAGACGATTCTCTTGGCTCTAGCTGGTGTGCAGGAATCAGGGGGAACGGGGCTCTGGCCCCACATCCAGTCCAGTCAAACATTCCTTCCGTGGGGCGTGCGATGCTGCTGGCAGACTTAGTGGTTCCCCCTCATCAGCATACTCACCCTCTGTGGGTGTGGTGAGTGGAAGGGAAAGAGTCTGTTTTTATGCATCCTCTTTCTCCTGCCATCCTCAGGGACCCAACTGGGAGCAGCCATAATACAGCCCATACCTTATAAAGAACTACATAGATCTTATAAACTGATGTAACTGGTGGGGAAGCAGGTCACATTTAGGGCCCAATTAACCTTGATGGTGTCCCTTTAACCAGTGACATAAGCCTTCTAAAAGTACATTTCATGTTAGCTTTACAGAGCCATTACTATACATTATGTAATTACCAAGGGCCAAATCCTGCAGCCCTGACTCAGCTTTTATTCACACAAAGCTGCTACTGAAGCCATAAGGAGATCTGCATGAATGGCGCTGTAAGCTTTGGGCTCAGGGAGGCTCAAGTACTCTGTGTAACAGAGAGCTCTCCATCACAAACAGACAGGGAGCAGAGGGACGGGGATTGGAACTGTTTTTGGGCTCTGGCCCAAGGGCTGCACTCAGGCCAGACCAGAGATGGATAAACATTCGGCAGGCAAAGACATTTCAAAAAGATAATTTATTAATTCATGAGAAATAAAACATGATGTAAAACACAGAGTGACACTTACATCATATTGCATCTACAGAGCTCAGTGCATATAGGAGATACATCAGTATTGAACGTACATGTGTCTGAGAGACAACCACAAACGTGGATCTCTTTAGCCAATGCAGTAATATCCATGTGCTGTCCATAAACTGATACATACACAGAGGTATGTTTGGCTTCAGGGTACTCTCCTAGTTAATAAATATGCTTTAGGTTTTTAAATTTCTTTGGGAAGTTCACTGTTCTTGATGCAACTTCCCCTCTGCCCCACACCTATGTGAACCTTTTTGTGGGGCAGACAGCCTGTCTAACTCTAATGCCTAATGGCCATTCATACCAATAAAAGCCAGTCCCATTGGCTCTGGATGCAGCGTAAGCACAGGAATGTCTGATCAGTTACCTGCTCAACTCAGACCTCCATAGACTGGTTACCTGCTATGTAAAAAAACATATTTTCTTCTATCCACTTAATGTGTTGCCTTTTAATTTCATTAAGGGTCCCTCTGGCCTTGTATTCTAGAGCAAGTTAAGTAGGGCACTGCAGGGGAGGAAGGACATATGCTGCCATTTAAAATAAAGTAAATTAAAAGTAAATCTCGTTAACCAGCCATTTGAGCTGTGGTTCTGAGATAGCGCTGGGCAGGGCATCTTTGCCCTTAGCCTTTCCCTACCCTCTCCCAGTGAAAGTGCGAAAGCCATTTCCAGTGAACAAGCCGATTAGCAGGAAGGCTGCTAGCCAGGCTCAGGGACTGCTTACCTTCCAAATGATTTCCCGATGGCAGATGGCCGGGCCTCGTAGTAGTACTGTTTGTACTCATCCATCCATACCTCTGCTGTGCGTTTGGTGTTCCTGCAGGTGGGCAAGGAGAAGCTATGCTGAGTGCTAGTAGCTTGTGGCAGCTCCCCCAGGAGCTGGAGATAAAGGAACATTGGCAACTTAGGAATGTACTCATGGAGACATTCAGGGTATGTCTACACTGTGGAGATTATACTGACATAGCTATGGCACCATAGCTCAGTCAGTGCAGCCTAGATGCAGCCCAAGATGATGGAAGGGGTTTTTCTGGCTGTGTAGGAACACTACCTTCCCAAATGACAGTAGCTTTGTCAATGGAAAAACGCTTCTGTCCACACAGCTGCACCTACACTGGGGGTTAGGTTGGTATAGCTGCATCGGTCAGTGGTGTGGATTTTTCATATCCCTGACCAACATGGCTATATTAACCTAACTTTTAAGTGTAGACCAGGTCTTGGGAAAGTTAACTCATCGCCACAGCTATGCCAGCATAACCTCACAGTGTAGATGCAACCTACAGTGACGGAAGGGGTTTTTCCATCACTGTAGGTAATCCATCTCCCCAAGCAATGGTAGCTAAGTTGACGGAAGCATTCTTCTGTTTCTCTAGTTGTGCCTACCCTGGAGGTTAGGTCAGCATAGCTATATTGGTCATGGGTGTGGATTTTTCACACCTCTGACTGATGTAGCTATACTGACCTAAATTTTAAGCACAGACCAAGTCTAAAGGTGTTGTGAAGTTAAAGAGTGTTAAAGTGCATTAAGCCTATGTGGACACGCTCATTCAGAAGTGAGGTGGCTGTAGTTCACTTTAGCTTAATTCACTTTTGTCCCTGACTAGATGTGCCCTTTGTGACTAGTCACAGATCAATATCACCCTTTGTTTTTTTGTAACAACCTCTTTCTCCCTCCCAACAGGTCTACCAACTTCTCTCATTTTTATTCTCTTCCCTTCTCTGCTACAATGGAAGCTGTCCATTTGGCTCTTTTCACAGCAGATACATCTCTGTAGTACATCTGGACCTGCAACTCTCATGTGCTATCTCCTAATCAGTAACAAAAAATGTGACAAAGAACTCCTGAGTCCTGTGGCAGGTTCAGATGGAAGGAAGGAGATGGACGGGGCAAGGAATACCCAGGACTGGAATTCCAAGGGACACAAAGGATATGTCCTTCTGGGTTAGCATTCCAGAGTAAGGGGATATGCTTTATGCAGTGGGCACCTGCACCATTTCTTTGCCTAGGCAGGAGGTTTCAGGTTGAATCTTGTTAAATGTTCAATCATGTGCCATCCTCCCTGAATCCCCAGGCAAAAAAAAAGGGAAAGGGGGAAAGAAAGATATAGGATTATTTAGACATGCTAAATATCAAGATGATCCACCTGCCATTGCGATATCCCAACACCTACTTGATATAGGTCAGTGCATTGCCCTCTGGAAAGTCATAGGGGTGGCGTTTCCTGAACACATGGCCGACTCGACTGCAGGGAACAATCTCCAAGCTGCCACCACACATCCACACGCGGAAGGAGAGCTCTGGAAGAGATCCCAAGCATCAGAAGGTACAGCCAGACAAGCAATACAAGTAAAACTTCCAAGAATACCGGCCAGAAAAAGCCGCCTCATACCCGGCACCTGAATGGCTTTGCCTCCTTTACCTGCATAGATGCCATAGACACAATCCCCGGCAAAACCAGAAGGGACGAATTGATGGAGAGAAAACATGTCTCTCTTTGTTAAAATTGAGTTGATCCTTCTTAGACTTCCCAACCTTCCTCACGTCCCTCTCCTCTCTCTGAGACCATCCCTTTAGCAAGAGACCTACTCATTTATCCTGGGCCTTTTGGCTGTCAGACACTTAGAATGGCTTCTGGCAACAGATATTGCTGACATGACACTGGACTTCAGTGGCCCACGAGCCCTGTCTACAAGAGATGGGGCTGCCCCAGGAAAATAGACACCCCTGAAGAAGTCAGAATGGGTGCCAAGTCTATAGGGAAGAGTAGGTGCATGGGAGAAAAGGAACAGATTGAGGAAAAAGGTGGACAGGTGTGAGAGAATAGGAAATGACAGAGAGAAGAGGAGTCAGGGAGGTCCTTTCGTTTACTTAAGTGGTCCATGCCTGGAGTCCTGTTCCCTTTGCCACACCCCCACTGAAATCACTCAAGTACAGTTTCGAAACAGAGCATATCGTACACAGCTGCCAAGTGTGGGCCAGGGTTGCTCTCTCCCTCTAATTTCAGGGCAATGACCCAGCTGATCAGGTTTATGTATTTCCAATTAAATATATCTGCTTAGCTCAGGTGCTTGTGGCCCCTTGCCATGGCAAAGTTGGCCACCACTGCCCATCTAAACACTGTATCTCCCCTTCCCTTCTCTCTCCTGGCCCCTGGAATCCCAGCAGTTGCAGTACATCTCACATTAATGCTTCAGTTGTCTCACACCGTCTCATTATAACGCTCCCAACCCACCTGGCTCTGCCAAAAATGGTAGAGGAGTGAAAACACTGGGCCGCAGCTCACAGTTACCTCTCGCAAGAGCAGAATTCCGTCCGGTTTATTTGAGAGAAACACACACACACACACACATTGCTGACAAAAACCCAACCGATCCAGAAGTCAAATTCAACATTTTGTTAAAGAATTGTAGGAACACGGGGACTTTGATGTGCAGAAGCTCATTGCATCACAGAAGAGACAGGCCCTTGTTAAGGATTATGGGTTGTCTGTCTCCCCCCCAGGTTGAATTACTGTGCCAGACTGGATGGGTTCCCCACTTGCACTCAATGTGGAGGTGAAAGCAACAAAAGAGGAAGGGTAGTAGGCAAAAAAATCAACTAAGGAGTTGGAAAGAATTGCATAAGATTCCCTACAACAATGGGGCCCTCCACAGACTTCAGGTCATATAGATTCTCTTTCAAAAATTTTACTCACCTGGGGTCTTCCTCAGGCCATGGGGCAGGAGATACAACATTAAGTTAAAAAAAAATCCTTTCAGCCTGAAATCTGCCATGCAGGCCCCATGGCTACCATACTTCAGGCCTCCCACTCCCAGGTTGCCAGTCCAGCTCCTTTGGAAGGAGTGGGCAGGATTGTTTAACGTGATTGGGTTATTTGTTTTTAAAATGGCTTCTACTTCTGCCTCTGAATAAAGGAGAAAATGTTAGTAAGTCACATTTTCACTGCTATCTTTTGATTCCTCTCACACATCCCAGACAGTATGTGCCCAACAGGGATCAGTTGAGAGACAACAGCAGAAGAAAGCTCCCCAACCTCATAGGCAGGGAAGGTCTTTGAAAAAAGCCAAGCTATACATTTCTTTTGGCATTGTGTCCAACTGGCTTTTTCACTCCTGGAACTAGGTTCTGACTCATTCTGGGCCAGGTTGCATCCTAATAACTATATCAAATATATCCATTGTGAAATCCTGAAGCCAGTTTGTTCAGTTAACCTGATGTATGGGTTTCAAGACAGTTCTTGATTTTAGGTGGACGTGGAAGGACACAAACGGCCATGCGCACACACATGCACATACAGAGAGAGAGAGCGTATCTATTTCATATCCGTAAAGCAGCAGGATCCTTGAAGGCAGGTGAAAAGGACAAAAAGATGATGCAGTTCACACAACAATACATCATTTTATTCTGACTTCTTTCCTTCAGATATGGAATAGAAATTGGAGATGGAGAAGATCTACTAGGTGATTTAGCCCATCTCCTGGGGCATATGTTGGATTGTTATGTACTGTATGTTTCCAAGTGCTTTGCAGTTTTAGATGACTCAAGCACTGTGAGTTTCTCCACTTCCCCTAAGAGACTTTTACCAACTAAGGGTACAATTACACTTAGAGAGGAGAGTGTGATGCCTAGCTTCGGGAGACATACCCACGCTAACTTTGATCGACGTAGTGTGCTAAAAATAATGTAGCTGCAACTGCGTGAGTGGCTAGCAGCCCCAAGTATATGCCTATAGTCTTGGATGTGTATGTACTGAGCATGGCTAATCCCTCCCACTGCTCATGTTGCCATAGCTACACTCTATTAGCTTGATCAGAGCTAGCATGGGTATGTGTCCTCAAGCTGGGAATCATACACCCCACATACCTAATATATCTCGCTGTCATGAAAACGTGCTTGGAGTGCTTGCATCTGGGACCAAGGTACTCCTGTCTCCTAGCTGGAGCAAGATTCTGTAGGGGAGTGTGTAGTGAAGCATCCTTTTACCATATCCCTTTGGATATACATTTGCCTCCCACACTCTGCCTCCTTTTTCACCCTGCTCACTCGCAAGTAGAGCTGGGAGAAATTTTCAAACAAGAAATTTGTCAAAAAATGGCCTTTAAAAAAAATCCACAAAAAATGGTTGGTCCGTAAAATATTTTGTTTTTCATGAAAAAATGTGGCATTTTTAATATAAATTTTATAAAAAAACATCAAGATTTGTCATATACCAAATACCTGGTTTTCAATAAACAAAATAAAAATGAAAAATATCCATTACCATTTTCTATTTTATTATCCTCCTATTATCTAATAGATATATAATTTATGTGTCAAGGTGGAATGAGCTTTATATTGTATTTTAATTGATGAGATGGGCACCAACAGAGGTTTACAGAAATCTGAAGAAATATCATATTGAGTAACCCGACATCAGATCTTTACAACAAAGACTCCACCTCGCAACTTTGTTTTCCCCGTTCCTAGTTTATCCTTTCAGAAGCCGAAAGCACGGGATGCATTATTCTTTTGAATGGAATTTATCTGCAATTTAATTAATAATGCAAACAGAATAAATTTGTGGCAGCTTTATCACATTCTTAATGATCCTCCTACTGCCACATGTCTGAATTCTGACAGATCATCATTTCCTATGTGTCTTAGAGAGGGTTCCCTCCACCTAATGGAAAGTACCCTTCTGAACTCCTTAGGTAATCCCAAGAAATATGTACTGCAGACAGGCCATGTTTGGAACTGCTCAAATAGTGAGCAAAATCACTTTATAATTCCAGAGAGTCAGGCCAGAGGGAGTGGTTTTATTACAACATGAGGTATTGAAATACAGAAAGAGATATATACAGATTCATTTCAGTTAACAGGAAAGACAAATAAATTAGTTATTTTAATTCCACTCTCCCTCACCAGCAATTCATTTTAATCGAGTCCCAAATACTTGATTTCTCTGTGCTCCTCTTTTCAGTTCTCTTGCTGTCTCTAACCCTCACTTACATGTGATGATTCTACAGCACATGGCATCATCTCGTTTGGGAGAAAGAGATGACTCCAATTGTCACCTTTGGTAGTATTGGGGAAACAGATTTCAGTGCTTTGCTATGTGAAATAACAGTACCTGGGGAGATATTCCTCAGAGGGTTTTAGATCTTGGTCCCAGTTTAAGAGTCTTCATTATGAGTATCTGTACCAGCTTTCACTCCCAAAGAGGCCTGACATACTAGGAACACTACATTTCAAAGCAATTGTCATGGGATAAGAACTCACCTTTACTAGGGGAAGAAGGGATGTATATAGAAAGTTTGAATGGTGGTGATGTTCCACTTGAAGACTTGTGGAGTGGGACAGAAAAGAGAATCTCTCCCGAAGATCTGATGTTAAGTACCACAGATGTAATTGTTATTTATGTGTATTTCTGTAGCACCTAGAAGGCCCCACTCAAAGATCATGACCTGTCTTGTTAGGTGCTGTGCACATATACAACAAAAAGATGGTCCCTACCTTGAAGAGCTTATATCTTTGATATACACATGAGCCAGTAATATAGATCTGACTGACACTGTGGTTGTCTGATGTCTAGAACCTTACATTGATACACAGATCTTTGGAGTGGGGTGTTTTTGTGGATTGGAAATGCGTCCCATCTATATGCAAGTATTATATTAATTACATGAAATGCCCACAGGAAAGCATATTTTGTCTGACAAAGATTTCCTGGCGTCACTTTCTGTGTGAGTAGGAAGATGGTAGGGGGAAAGAGAGGGCAATGACTAATTTCACCACTCACCAAAATTCTCTCCTCCCCAGATGTCCATCTGAGTGTCATATTTTCCCAAATGGTTAAACCAGGACTTATCGATCACAAAGATGCCTCCCGCTATGACAGGGGTTCTGGAGAGAAGGAAGAAAGGGCAAATACATAACAAAACAATAATAATAATTTGTCCTTGCACAGGATCTGTCATCTGAAGATCACAAGGCACTTTAGAAACATTCATTAATTAAGCCTCGTAAACATGCACCACCCATTATCCTTATCTCCATTTTACAGATGGGGAAAATTTGGCCAGACATAGTTCCACACCTCAATCACATGATGAGATTGCAGCAGAGGTGGGAATACAACACAAATCTCCTGGCTCCAAGTATTGTGCTTTCACCCGCCTTCCTCCCCATGTTAGATTCTATCACTAGAAGGTTTGTGTTGTGTCTTTTGCTCTTTGCACAACATACTCAATATGAAGGAACCACATGGGCACAGTGGGGTCCAAACAACTGCTGGACTGTTACTAAGGCTCAGCTACATATATCCACTGCTGTTCTGTCAGGGTTCTGATGGTTTCAGAAACATGAGAGACAGTGAGGACCACTACAGGGCTCACAAACTATTTATTGGATGCTTTCCAATTCCTATGTGCTATAGTTAAAGAACCTTGCCGTCTAAATAGACAAGAATTTGGGGGTTTTGTCAGCATTTTTCACACTTTAGTTTTCTCAACGCTCTGTACACAGTAATGAGCCACCTAGTGACTACACCGGTCAACAGAGAAGCCATTATGTGCCTCACCCCTATCTCAGTCAAAAACTTGAACATTCAAAGCTGGGAAAGAAGGATGATTCTGTAGTTAAGCCCTTGGACTGGGTTTCGTTCCCGACTCTGCCATTGACTTCCTGTGTGACCTTGGGCAAGTCATTCAGCCTCTGTGCCATAATTCTGTATCTATAAGAGGGGATAATAGCACAACCAGACCTCACAAGCTGTCAAGAGGATAAATTCATGAATTTGTGAGGCACTCAGATACTAGAGTGATAGGGGCCACATAAGTAGACAGATTGAACTGGCTGCAACAGTCTGTAAATGTGTTTAACTTAAAATCACTACTTCTTACATTGTTCAGGGAGTAGCGAATTGATAAATTACAGCTTTCACCCGTGTCACATGACTGCTTCAAACATCTCACAGGACAAATGCCTCGCACAGCATCTGCAGCAACGGTGATGGTATCTTGTCCTCACAAGGAAAGTTCTTGTGCACTCCTGATGCAAAGATGAAGTCTTAACAATGGCATTCAAAGAGAGGGCAGCACAAGCCCAACAGAGACTGGTACCTTATGGACTGGGTTGGGTCCGTTCTGGACATCTTCTGCTCTATAGGGATCTGCTCCCACTTAAAGTGAAGGCTCCAGTCAAACCCTGAGAAGAAAAGAAACGCTAGGGATGCCAATAGAGTAAGAGTACAATGCCAGCTACTAGAATACTCAGGAAATCTGCAGCAAGGGCATTAGGGGACAACAAACTAAACTATCAGGATGCTGCAAACCACCTTTTTTTTTTTTTTTTGATGGTCCTGGTGATTGTTTTGCACACACAGGTTTCCACTAGCCTTGGAAACAGACCCACACCTTCGTTGTATGGTGGTGTTGAGAGGGTGCCTGTTTTGCCCTCTCAGCCCCATCTACCTGTGGCAGGTGCCATACCAGATTTGCAAGTACTATCCTGCACATCAACCAGCAGGAGGCAGCGGGGCACACTGGACCTGCAAATGCATGAGGCCACCAGTGACCCAAGTGAGCAGAAGTCCCAAGGTGACCCCACATGTGCCCCAAAGTAGCAAGAGCCTTCTACATTGCATCAAAATGTAAACATATTGCTGTACCATTTGGAGTCCCTCCAGGCTCTCCCCTCCCTTAGCAATACTTGGCTGTGCTCAACTACTTTCCAGAGCTTCTCGAGTGTGTTGTCAGGGTAGAGGTGATAATCAAGGCTGGTGCAGTCTGGTCAGTGTGTCTTATGCCTCTTTGGCTGACAAAGTTATGAGGTTTTAATCAGCACTCTTGGTGGGATGACAGTGTATTTCTGGGAACAAAGGCTCCAGTGCATTGTCATTGGTTTTCCCAAGTCTATCACTTGTTGAGTTGCCCCACGTTTCTGAATTGAGCTCAGTGTAATCCTTAAAATGCTGCCAGGTAATGGACACCCACAAATTGGGTGGGTTCTAAAGGCAGGGAGGATGGTGAGAGGAGGTGTTGGCAGGTGGGATTCACTGTTGAAAGGGAGAGAGAGTTGAGCCAGATGACGTTGGAGGGATGGTAGTAGAAGGGTTTTGCAGCTAGGAAGAGAGTTGAGACTGTTTTTCAGGGGCTACTGTGGGAGGGTTTGGCGGCTGGGAGGAGTGACCTTGGGATGCTCTTCAAGAGATAGAAGGAAGCTCTAATGTCTGCTTAGCACAGTGCGCTGGCTGGAGGGCTCTGCAGCTGTCAGGAGTCTATCTGCGATATCAGTGGGTTTCAACAGCTGATGGTGGCATTTGTCTGGGGGAATCATGGAGAGGGTGCAGGCAGGCAGAGGGTGCAGCAGGGAATGGGGTTGGGTTAGGGGACTAACCTGAGGGACCTATTGGTGGGTTTAGGCACTGCTGAGTAGAAGGAGAGCTAATGAGCTGGTGAGGGATTGTTTGCATCATTTATCCATCAGGTGATGGGTGATGTTAGTAGTTGCGAGGGGGGTTGGCCTGCATGCTTTGGGATGGGCAGGTGTGTGTGTGATGAGTTTTGGAGAACAAGCAGGGTGCATTCTGATCGCTCATCTGCAGGGTTACTGGAGGGCTCAGCAATAGCAGGAGGGGCTGGGTTGGGTGCCCTGTGGGTGTCACTGGGAGCTGGGAATTCTGGTCTGGAGCATTGTAAGGGTCAGACTCTGGCACATCTCCTGAATACCTGCCTGGCCTGCAATCTGCCTGCAGATCTTTCCTAGAGAGCCATCTTTAGTCCTAAAAAATTACTATCTTGTGTCTGAAGCATCCACATGCAGGGCCAGTTACACAGAGTGAGGGGAGAGCCTCTCTGGATACCCCCAAGTTGCTCCATGGCCTCTTCTCCACTGGAGCTGGTCATTCCAGGGAGTAAAACACATAGGTCAGAAAGAGCAGAGCACTATTACTGCTGCCACTCACTATCTGGTCCTGGCCTACCTCCCCCCCAGGTCTAACTTATCCCAGCCATTAGCCTTACCCACCTCCCCTCAGATCGGCTGAGGCTGCCAGGTAGGCAAAATTATCCAGGCTGATCACATCGATGATTGGACTCACCACTCGGGTATAATCCTGTAAGAACAGAAGAGTGGGAGAACAATCAGGCCTCTCTTGGGGGGCTGGCAAAAGAATAGGATATCAGAGACAAGAGGCTATGTACAGAGCAACAGGGAAAAATAAAGCAGCATATTACATTGCAACCCTTCATTACCTCCCGTGTGGCAGCTGGGTAATGAATCCATGGCTGCTGCACATGTCTACAGATAGGGAAACTGGCAGCTCAACTTCATATCTATGACACGGGGAATGGAACTAAGGGCCCTCTTGTAATATGGGTTTAGCACACAGGAGCACTGGTAAGTGATAGCTCTTTATTTTCTGGCCCCAATCACATGACATGGGTCCCAGTTTCAAAGGTTAATATCTCTGTCACACAGGCAGGAATCAGTATCCAGCATTCCTTCGATGTTTTTAAACAAAAAGGCCAATACAATAAAAAAATGCTCATTACCAACCCAAAACAACCACATAGCCAACTAATAAACCACAAAGGTGGAGACAGTATTTACTCATGATGATTGACTAGTCCCTGAGAATAATGAGACAGGCTTGGAAATCATGAGATTTTTAAAATAAAGAAAGAAATATTGGGTGCTTTTTATTTGCCTTCTGGTTTTTGAACCTTCAGGGAGCACTCCAGTCACATTTTCAAGCTATTCTCTGCAACAATGGGTGCTAGAAATTTACTTTGTATTAAAAGAAAGCTGAGATTCTTGACTCCAGGAGCTGAGGCTTTAAGAAAAACACCTGCTATCTCTACACTCACGATAAAATTGAGAGAGTCGGTAATGCTGGAGGTACCTAGCCATCCATCTGTCACTACTACCTCTTGCCTTCTGATCACACAGCCACTTATTCTCAGAACAAGTTCCTTCTGCTGTGGCCTATATTCAGGCCTTGAGCCTGGGTGTGCTGTTTGATTTTTCATCGACAGCGACAGGACAGGCATGAGTTAATTCTGCCCGTGCAAGAGCGCTGTCAACAGCCGTGTCAGAGTTCATCCCTTCTATGGTCTGTGCTCTGCTACCATCTATCCAGGTGGCCTGATATTCCAGCCTCCTCACAGCTAGAGATAGGTGTGAACCAAACCCCCGGGCCGAAACAACTACAAAATTTGGGGCAAGTTTGGAATCTGAACCTGGACCTAGATCTGAACGTGGCAACTGAGCCCTATATCTATAATGGGCTGAACCAAAATCTGAGCTCAGGCCAGCCCAGAACTCTAAAAAGGTTGGATCAGGGTCCAAAAACTTTGCAGCTCAGATCCATCCCTGCTAGCAACCACTCAGACCCAGCTGCAGAGACACCATCACTGAGCTGCTGCTGCTGCTCCTGCCAGAAGCTTGACTTTACGAGCAGAAGTAAAGTAGACATTTATATCGGGCTACTGAGATGGAGGATTTATTGAGCAGGCTTAAAAAGAAGTTCTAAGGTTTCACCTTCTTCCTCCCCTTGATACTAAACTGAGCAGACATATGAAATGTACAGCAGCACAAGTGCCTCCCACTCCTCTCCTGGACCCCATTACCTCATGGGCTCCTTTCTTCAGAGATGGAGAATGCGGCACTTGCAGGTGGCAGAGAGATCAGTCCCCCTCTGCACCCCCCCTGCTCTTTCCCTGCAGGTTCACTGTAGCATTGTCACATCCTCCCTTCGACCCCATGGTGAATTCAGGGCGAGAGCTGCCAACGTTGCTGTCTGATATTCCACTCTATCTGCCCTGGGATTAATCCTTTCTCCAGTGAACCTCAGAAAGAAAGTCCCTGGGGGCACTTTGTGTTGGGAAGTGGTTTTGTGGGCCCGGTGCTTGTTGCAGAGGGTGTTAATAGCAGGAGGGTTTGGGGGGTGGGAAGGGGAGAGGTTCAACAGTTGGAAGGGGGTTGTGGAAAGGGAGCAGTAGTCCATGCAGAGGTTGTGTGTGTTGTCTATATGTGAGGGGACGTGGAAGAGGTATCCAGGAAGGTTAAAGTAGCAGTCAGCAGCACAAGGATTTTCACACATCTCCCCTGCCATCTATGAACATCCCCGCCCCCACAACAGGAAAGTGCTGGGGCCCTGCGGTAAGAGTCCTGGTAATACACAGCAGGTGCCAGTTGCACGGAATATTTTAGGCTCCGTACTCCTCTTAAAAACATCTGAGTTGGACAAGGAGGCATTTGGGTGCTTGCCCTCGATGCTGAAGCTCACAGTGTGTACGGTGCTGTCTGTCAGCTGCCTGGCAGGGCCAGGAAAAAAGAAGCTAAATCCTGGCAGGAGTTGAGTGGAGAGAGAAAGATGACGTGGGGAAGGGGTCTCACCTCTTTCACTCTCTGAAGCATCGGCTGCAGCCACTCACTGTTCACCTCACAGTGACTGTCCAGGAAGGTGAGAATCTCAGCCGTTGCCACCTCGGCCCCTCGCACTCGAGAGCGAATCAGCCCTAAAAGGAGGAACAGGCAGAGGAGGGGAAGGAAGTGGAAAGGCCAGAGAGTAAAAGAAAGGTGAGATAAGGGAGGGAAAGCCCTGAACTTCTACAACTTAGAAAAAATAAAAATTCTCCACTACCTTGCACCTTGTGTAGCCATTTATACTGGTGCAGGGAGCCTGATTCTCCAGGGCAAGCTGGACCCTTTACACTGCTCTAACAGTGTAAATGGGTCATAAACGTACCCCTACCAGAGGGGCCTCCCCAGATGGCATAGAGCTGCCCTAGCCAGGTCCATGACACCACAGGAGTAGGAGACATGCTAGGGAGCATGGGCTTTTTTTTTTTTTTTTTCTGTCTACACCACTAAACCTCCACTCTTGATTACTGGAACCTCCTCCTCATCAGCTTCCCTGACACTCACATCACTGCCCTCAAGTCCCTGCAAAACACAGCTGCTACAATCACCTTCCTTGCCTATCACTCTGCTCAGTCACCCCCATCTCTCAATCTCTCACCTAGCTCCCTCACCCCTTCCAGTGTACTGCGCTCCAGCTTCTTGTCCTGACTTTCAGGGCCCCTCACTGCTTTTCACTCTTCTCTTTTATGATGCCAGTCTCTCCCACAAATGCTTCCCCATCTTCCACACCACCCCCTGATGCTTGGGATGCCATGTAAGGCCGCTACCCTCACCTCCTTCAAATCCCCTCTCAAGACCCACTTGTGCTGTGCTGGCTATAAGAAATCAGACAGCACAAAGTGGCTGCGCGGAAGGACAGCTGTTAGGACAGCTAGGGAAAGTCAACATTTCGTTTTGTAGGTGTATTATATATATGAAATATTAGCTTTCCCCAACTGTGTGTGTGTCTGTATATATAATGTATATTTGATTGTCTTCTTCTCTCAGGTCAGGAACCATGTCTACCTATATGTTTCTAGCACAATGGGGTCCTGATCCTGACTGGGGACTGTGGGCACTACTATAACGTAAATATTTAAAATAACAACAAATGCCCTGAAGCATGAGGATTGATAACCCAGGTTCTCTCTGCCAAAGCCTCCAGATTGGGAAATAAAAGCTTCACCTGTATTGCAAGTATGAATTGTAACCATGAGAAATACCATCTAGGGGAGTGGAGGGCAGAAGGGGTGACTTTGTGAGCAGATGGTACCTGCAAAGTTTTCCACACTCACCTTCTCGCCGACTGTTGCGTAGACACTTGATCTTTGGGATCTTGGTAAGGAGCTGGCAGTCCTCAGCTTAGGAAAGGAGAAAACATTTGGCACAAATGCATGAATTATTTGGCTTCCGTGGAGCGCTCCAATTAACTGCTCTCATGTGTCTCCATGCAGGGAAAGTGCTGCTTTCACTTAATATCACTTTAATCAACCTGATACCTTAATCCCATTGTCTAAAGTGTACCCAAGAGATCTCACTTGACAGTCCTCCTCCCTGGCAGCTGAGCCAAAGCTCCCCAGATGCGCTGAAAGGCTGAGGCTGCAGCCAGCTCGAGATCAGCACTGCAGAAGAACAAAGGGGCATATGCTGTAGGTTGTAGAATTGAGAGCAGGAGAAACTGAGGGACATCAGGGAGCAAGTGCAGAGAATCCAAGAAGCTAAGGAGGAAAGAGACCTATTCTATTAGGTGATCTAGTGCATTTCCTCCACCCACGAGATCATGCAAGGTTGTTCCCTACAATCTGTTCTCTGGGATAGTTTTCAGCTTAGTTTTAATTAATCCAAGCCATAGTGATTCAACCATCTTTCTTGGGGACACTTTTCCACTGTCTAATATAGGGATGTCTGACTGGTAACTTGCTGGGAGCCCACATCACACCTAATTTGCATTAAATGAAGTACATTACAGAACCATCCCAGACTGCATTTGGTAAGAGGGACCTTCTGCTCAGCTCACAGTGGAGCAATGCATGCTGGGCCATGTAGGCTCAGAAGGCCACATCTCCACATGAAAGAGGAGATAAGGCACAGGGCTCCCTCTAGAACAGTGGTTCCCAAACTGGGGTTCATGAACCTCTGGGGGGTTGCGAAATGTTACAGGGGGTTCTTGGGAAAAAACTCCCTAATGGCGAACAGAGCTGTCCATAGGGACCCTGGGCAGCACAGGGCCAGCAGCCCGGAGGCCCTGGACTTCCAAGAGCTAAGCAGATCAAAGCAAGCATATCTATCATACTCAGGAGATTTAAACTTCAAGACTCCTTATAAGGAATGGAAATGGAGGTGGATATTTTTTGCTGTTTTTAAAATTAAATAGGCAGCTAGTGTTGTTTTTAAAATTATTATGAAGAACAAGTTTAAGCTTTGTTGTAACGTGCGTTGTTTGCCCGGACTGCTCAAGATCTGAATGCTTGTGTAGGAAGAACTCTTTGAGTTGGCTTCTTAAATACCTTCCTGCTGTTTCACATCTGATACTCCTGGATGAAACATAGGAACCTTGGCTTATTACAGGCTCATTCAAAGTGAAACAAGCTACGAAAGTGAGATCTTGGAAGCGTGTTGCCATTTTCATAATGTAATAAAAATACTGTAATCATAAATAATAATTAATAATAAATAGAGTGTACAAGCATGTCATAAAAACCAGTTTTATATTTCCAAGATCACTGCTTTTATAATTTATACTCAGGTAAAGGAGAAAATCCCTGGAAATATTCCTTTTTAGGATGGGGTACGTGAGACTTGACATTTTATTGAAAGGGGTTCACAGGTTGTTAAAGTTAGGGAACCACTGCTCTAGAACTCTGTGGGATACATTTGGACCACAGGCCACACTTTGGCAAGTCCTGCTCTAACAGATATCACTGGGGCAAAAGTTTCCATCACAAGCCCATTTTCCCTGAGCCCTCTCCACCTCCCTCCCCCCACAAGCAGCTCTTTTATCCCATGCACTTTTCTACATCTTGCAGAGCCCTTTGCTTGCCATCATCTTCCCACAGCCTCAGTGCTCTGGAGAGAGACGCTAAGGCCACCAGCCAAAGTGCTTCTCTTGGCATCTCTTTCTCCATTTTCAAGGACACAAATCTGAAATATTGCTTTTCTGTGGGCAGCTTGGCAGCTGCTGTATCATTCAAATGTAGTGGCAGAAGCTCTTCAGTAAAGAACTATTGAGATATTGCTGGATGTCACAAGGGAAGACTGTGTCCCAGCACTGGACAGGTCCATTTCAGGTGAATGCAAGAATCTCTTTTCAGGTTATTCACCCGCCAGGAATGTAAGAAGAGTGGGCCCAGAAATCCACGTCCTAGTTCTGACCCTAACCTCTGTGTGTCCTTGGGGAAACCGAGGCGCCAAGGGCCAGATTTGCAGAAGTGCTCAGCACCCTAGAGCTACCGCTGAGAATAATGGGAACATCTGGGAGATGGATACTTTTGATAATCTTGCCATTTATTTAGAGGCCTAAATGGGAGTTTCTGGCTGAGCTCTTTTGAAAATCTGGCCTCAAGCTGCTCAAGGCCAACATTTGCAAAAGTGGCAACGGAGTCTGGGTTTGAATTGTCAGGTGCTCAACTTGAGACACTTAGGACCTGCTTTTCAGAGGTGCTGAGCCCCACAGCTCCCATTGCCTCCCATTGGAGTTGTGGGTGCTCAGCACTTCTCAAAATCATGCTCTTGGAGTCTCAAGCTGGCACCCAGGAACTCAGGCACCCAAACTCAGTGGCCGCTTTTTGAAAATTTTGGGCAAAGCTATTTATATGTAAAATGCAGCCAGTATCACTTCCTTAACTCACAGGGGCACTGCAGACATTCATTACAAAATGCTGTAAAAAACTAATAATAGTCTGAAGATGTAATTAATTATTATAATAAACATGGTGCTAGATTGTCCTGGGCCATTGTGGAAGCCCCTTGTACCCCAACCCCATTATACAACAGCCAGGAACAAATGCAAGCACTGTGCTCAGGGGAGTGCGTAGATTACTATCTCCTAGTGCCTTTAGGGGAATGAATTACCCAAAAGGTGGCATGGCGGAGTCACGGCACAGCCACTAGTCTGTGGAGCTAGCCAGGATCATGCAGCATACACTCCTGCTTGGCACCAGGTTGCTGGAGGAAGTCGGGTGCCTCTTGAAGCAAAATCTCACCCAGAACTACTTCCAGGGATGCCCTAGCTACATGACGATCCCAGCCTGGGCCTAGGGCAAAAGCCAGTCTGTCTGTAGAACATGAGAGTTTGCAACAGTTCTCTGTGGTCTTTCTCTCTAACACAGTGGTTCTCAACGTGCTGCCCGCGGGTCACATGTGGCCCAGTTAGCACATAGCTGCGGCCTAGCTGTGTGCTAAAGGCCGCAGGGCCTGCATGCTGGGTCCGGGCTGCCAGGCTGCCCTGTGCGATGGCGGGGTCTGGGGCTGCCCTTCCACTCAGCCCTGCAGCGGAGTATGCTCCTGGCCCCACTCTGTGGAGGGGTCTCTGGGTGTGGGCTGGGGTGCTGGGCATATGCGGCCCACAATAATAAACAGGTTGAGAACCACTGCTTTAACCCATATAATCAGACACTACTGGCCTACACCACTCACCATATTTGGGCTAAACACCACATAAAAAGGTGGTTAATGGGACCAGACTGGGTACTCTGGCAACCTGGCCAGAACTACCAACTTCACACAAGGAGAACAGGAAAGAGGAAAACACGGCCTCTTTGCCATGGGTGAAAGCTAAACTAGGTGCAGAAAAGCCTCTCTCCTTTCCTTCTTCTTTCTTTTTTCGCCAACTGGCAAGTGAGCAAGAGAGAGAATCTTTGAGAGGGAGGGAAAGAGAACAGAGTGAGTGAAGGAGAAAATCAGAGAGAAAAGCAAAAGAAAGAGAGGGAGGATTGATACTTACGATCTGAGCTGAAGTCATCCACTAAAATGATCTCCTGAATGAGATTGGCAGGGGTGCGGTTCATAACACTGCAGGAATCCAAGAAGGAAAGAAGGACCTCATCATTATTAAACAAACGCTTTTGCTTGTACTGTTTGTAACCTGAGTAGGGGGACCAGATGTCCCAATTTTACAGAGACAGTCCCAGTATTCAGGGCTTTGTCTTATATAGGCAGCTATTACTCACCACCTCCATCCTGATTTTTCACCCTTGCTGTCTGGTCACCCTAAACCAGGGTGTGATGGACAAGAAGCTGTATTTTTATTTATTTTGGGAATACTGATATGTGATAATGATATGAATACTGTCCATGACCTGTTCAGTGAGGTAAACTTACTGTAGAAGATGGTGGGTTATTAGAATTTCTTGTATGACTTTATTGATCTAACTTAACAGGGGGCTGTGGGAACAGCAAACCACAAAGAAACACAATAGATTTAGATAAAGACACCCCAACATACACCTGAAAAACTACAGGGCAAGATTTCAGAGTAACAGCCATGTTAGTCTGTATTCGCAAAAAGAAAAGGAGTACTTGTGGCACCTTAGAGACTAACCAATTTATTTGAGCATAAGCTTTCGTGGGCTACAGCTCACTTCATCGGATGCATACTGTGGAAAGTATAGAATATCTTTTTATACACACAAAGCATGAAAAAATGGGTGTTTACCACTACAAAAGGTTTTCTCTCCCCCCACCCCACTCTCCTGCTGGTAATAGCTTATCTAAAGTGATCACTCTCCTTACAATGTGTATGATAGTCAAGGTGGGCCATTTCCAGCACAAACCTGGATTTGTACATTTTCTAGTGCTTTGCCCAATGTACTGTATATCCAAATTCCCACATGACGGGACTTCCGTCACATCACTTGGGTGAGACAGTTCCACAGCCCTATAAGTTTAACTGTCACTCAGCTTTTTCTGATATTCAGCCAAAATGTTCCCATTCTTAATTTCACCCCCCACCAACACTCCCTCAGCCACTTGCCCCTGCCCCTCACCCACCACCCCCAGGATCTTCCTGGCCACTCACTGGCACCCCTGCTGACTCAGCACTCTGTTCCCATCCTGGGCAAGGGCAGCTCCTCCCAAACCTGGCCACTCAGCAGCAATGCTGGCTCCCATCACCCGCCCAGCATTCACACAGTGCGGGTCAAAGTTGAGTGATGAGTAATGATGTGACCAGGCACACGGGGCCATAACATTACTTGTCTCCTTTGCCTGTTCCCTTGCCCTTCTTTTAGTTTACCCATCCTTTCTGGAAATAAAGTGTTGTTTATCTTTCTTTGTTGGTCCTGTTATATATTATAATATTCCATGGGTGGTAGTTGTTATTATTTATTATTTGTATTGTCATCGTACATAGGAGATGCAGTCATGGACCATCCAGCCACTAGATGGAAGCACTGTGCACAAGGCAGTCAGGCCCCATTGTCCTAGGGGGAATCGCCAACCCTCTGCAGATGGAGGAATGAGGGGCTCTACCATGCTTGGGGATCAGAGTTAGTCATCATTGTTCAGTTCAGATGTACGAATTTACCAAAGTTCTTTTAATCTGTCCTCATAAGCCATTCTCTCAAGCGCAAATAATGATTTTTGCAGTTCTTTGATCACTTTCTAACTTGTCAATATCTTTCTGGTAGGGAGGTGTAGAGAACTCTCTGGCTTTCCCAAGTCCCTCCCATCTGTCCAAAATGCAACTGCTAAAATTATCTTCCTCACCTGTCAATCCAACCATCTCCCTTGCCTCTTCAAATCCCTCCCCTAGCACCTGGTTACTCCCCACAGCCAGTTCAAACTTCTCATCCTCACCTTCAAGCCCCTGCGCAGCTCCAATTGGATCTACATCGTTCCTTATGTCTCCCTTTACCTGCTTTTCTCTGTCAACAATGCGGGCCTCACCAACCGCTTTGCTTCCTCTGCCCACTCAGGCCTTCTTCCATAATGCCCCCTAAGCAGGAAACAAACTCCCAGTCTTCAATGGGACTAATCATGTGCTTAAAATTAAGCACCTTCTCAAGTACCTTGCCGGATCAGGGCCATAAAGAGGAGAGGAGCGTGAGATTATTATTTAAAAACCACCACATCTAGGCTAACAGAGCCTAATGTTGCTGTGTTTTTTTTACTGCTATCTCACCCTGCAAACACATAACCGCTTTGCTGTTCACTATCTCACCCCACTCTATTTCAGAGTTATGTTTCCACATGACTGCCCATGAATATTTGGGTTTCAGCTTGTATTTCCCTAGATGTCTCAGCCTGCATTTTTGCGAGCCAGATACCATTTGCTACATCTGGTTCACATCTCAGCCCTCTCTGGGTCCCATAGCATTACTTTTCTGTTTTCTCTGATGATTGCAACTTCTCCCACATCACTGTCATTTGCAAGTTTCATGTACAGGACTACCTTGTGCTTTGTGTAGTAATTCACAGCTGTGTAAAGTGAGTGTAAAATGCACCCAAATCAAAACGGTTCCATTTTGTACCTTCTCTTCGTAGGTGTCAGTGACCACAAGCCGAAAGGCAGTGGAGAACCAGCCCCAGGCAGTTTACCACTTTGTTAGAGAAAATATTTAACAAGACTGGTCTAACCCCACCTATCATCTAAATTTTCCTGCCTCCTCTACAGTGTTGCCTGTGTATTCCCTTATCCCACCTCTTCTGAAATCCTTGTCTTTGCATTCTCCTCCTCTCACCTATATGACTACAACTTCCACAACGCTTTTGTCCACAAGTTCCAGATCTCCAGACTCCAACACGTGCAAAAGGAAACAAACACATCACACCTTTTTCATCAACACTTCCACTGATTTCCTCATTAGAGGTACTATGGTCTAGTGGCCTGCAAATAGGGCTGGGAGTCAGGAATTCCTGAGTTCTAATTTTAGTTCTGCAACTAACCTATTGTGTGACCTCCAGCAAGACACTTAACTTCTCTGTGTATAATTTTCTCCATCTCCAAAATGGGGATTATAACACTTCCAATATTTCCCCAGTGTAGATAACAGGGAATAATATGTCTCTTCCTCACAAGAGTGCCATGAAAATTAGTTAATGTTAATTCAGATGTAAAGTTCAAAAGGGGGCTAGATAGATTCATGGAAGATAGGTCCATCAATGGCTATTAGCCAGCATGGGCAGGAATGGTGTCCCTAGCTTCTGTTTGCCAGAAGCTGGGATTGGGTGACAGGGCATGGATCACTTGATCCATGTTCATTCCCTTTGGGACACCTGCCGCTGGCCGGGGACGGGATGCTGGGCTTGACAGACCTTTGGTCTGACCCAGTATGGCCGTTCTTATGTTCTTAAGGTGCTATAAAAGAGCTAAACATTACTACTATTCCAAAATCCAGTTCTAAATTTCCTTGTGTCCGAAACATGGACCAACTTCAGTCTGTTCTCCCCCCTCCGATGCATTTCTTGTCTCTCTACTCCTCTCATTGCTCCCTCTGTTTATTCAGCATCAGTGTCCTCTTGCTGCCTCAGCATGGATGTATCAGCAATGCTGACGTGAGAGTCTTCTCCTCTGCAGATCTGACCATCTATATAATCCTCCTTTTTATCTCTCTCTGGCTCACAGACTCTCCATTTCATTTCAAATCTCACCAGAAAATACATCCCTTTCTTCTTTTACTCTGAATTTCTCTCTTTATCTGCCCATATTTATTGAATTTGCCAAAGCATATTGGGATGCAGCTTGTATGAAAGGTGCTGCACAAAATACGTTTGTATTCTACAGCATTGTTTCCACCAGAATTTACACAATCACTTAGATTGGGCACTGAACTACTGACAGCCCTGTTATCTTACACAGCAAATGTACACCCATACATTTGTATTCACAGACAAATGGTATCCACACACCCTAAAAATCAATAAATAAAATATAGACAACACAGCTGTTGTCTTCCCTCTATATAAGGCCTAATTGTGTCAGTGAGAGCGGCCAGCATGGCAGAAACTGGTAATTTCACTTAATGACGAGCAAGGCAGAGATACCAAGCAGGCAAGCAGTCCATGAATGATAGCCATCTCCTGCAGAGTAGGGCATGTCAAGTGAGAAAACAGTTCATGAGTGACAACTGTCTCCTGCAAAGCAACAGATGTCAAGCAGACCAGCACAGATATCTCCTGCACATCAAAGGATGCCAGCAGGCAAGCTGTTTAAGATGCCACTGTAATAGCTGCTGGCATCCAGGCTATTTCTAATTCTTTTCTGCATTCCCTCTCTCATTTAGTCTCTTGTTTGGTCTCTTTATCCAAGCATCAGACTTTGTATCTTCCTCCTCAGCTACCTCTAAGCTAAAAACAAATCCTTGTGGCCTAAACATGTTGTATGCCTTGAACCAGCAGCATTTGCCTGCTAAACAAATCACAAGGCCATGCACACAACAGTCTTCTCTATGCTAGGGAACTTTAGGAAAAAATTCCTTCCAACAGTGCCACCGATTCACATGAATCTGTGTTAGCCCTGATGGGATCCCCTGTGTAGACAATTTAAACCCATGTGGTACAAATGCATCTGGCTGTGGGACCTTGTCTACAGGAGGGCTCCCACCCGTCTCACACAGGCTCAGCCGAATTAGTGGTACCACCCTTGTGTAGTTCTTCTTAAAACTAGCTAGTGCGTAGCTGAAATTTTAAAAAGCAGCCACCATTTTGGATGCCCAACTTGAGATATCTGGGCCCTATTTTCAGAGGTTTTGAGCATCCACAACTCCCATGAATGTCAACTGTAAGTGCAAGTTCTCAGCACCTCTGAAAATCAGGCCCAAAATGGCAAGTTTGGTACCCAACCCAATGGCTGCTTTTAAAAATGTCCTTATTGTCATTTATTTTCATCAGTTATTCTTCTTCATTCCCAATTCCTCATTCATCATCCCCAAAGTGCAACTAAAATCCCTTAAGTTCTGTTTGGGAAAAAATAAGTACTCTGTTATAACCATGTAATTACATAGAACTTTCAACAGGTGCTCCTTGCATGGTTAATTTTGATTAGTTATCTAACCAATCAAGCTCTAATTGTCATCCTGGGCCCCACACTCCTGCTGCAATTTTAAACCTAAAGCTGTTCTGGAAGCCTGACCAGATGCCATAAAAAAAAAGTAGCTGATACAATTTTATGCTTCCTCTTGCTTAATATCACTGTGGTCCTCTGCAGACTCACAACAAGTGATAAATAGACTAGAAGAGTCCCTTTCATACTTGATATATCCCAAAGTGCTTTACCGTAATGACACAGTGGTGGGTGCACTGCCTGGGTAGGCGAACTCAGCAGCAATTATACACACAGCAATAGCTCATGCCCAGCCTGGCACATTCAGACCTCTGGAAAGCAGGTGGCCCCAAACTGGGAAGAGACTTAGAAAACCAGCCTTCTATCCATGAGTCCAGCTCCGGCACACTTGAAAGAGTCTGTTATTTATTCACAAAGCAAACTTCTGCAAGCCCTTGGGACTCAGTGAGAGAATGAGTGCCAATGAATGCTGCATTCGTGCTACAGGTACCCTTAGCTGAACCTTCCAGCTGAGCTGTTCTTTCTCTTCGGCCAGTCTCCACAGGAGAGGGAGGCTTTTCCCTGGGCTGGTTGCCTGCTTCAGGGAGCTTTTGAGTGAGTATTTGGTATCTCAGAGACGGCAGAGGACACAGTCTCTGGAAAAATAAAGGCAGAAAACCTGTCTGGGCTCTGCAGCAGAGAAAGGGATTTGGGGAAGGAAAGGAGCTGGTGGAAATATTTCTTTGCTGTATGAATAGCAGCAGATATTTTCATGCTCCCACCTGCTTGGGGTTACTCCCACACTCAGAGCCACCCCACCTGATGCACCTGTTTGTTTTTGGCTACCACTGTGACTAAGGGGAGAGAGCCACATATATTGTTGGACTGGGGTGCTTCTGGTTGGCAGGGGCTGTGCACACAAGCCTAGCCAGGGGTTTGCCATGGACTCGAGTGCTATTCCATCAGTGAGCGATTCCAAGTGTTGTATCAGGTGACAGGGGCCTAGTCTCCATCAGACTTCAATGCCATCACCTTTCACTCCAAACACTCGGACATGCCGTCTGTGCACCGCCCTCCTCCCATGAAATAGACTCCTGCTGCATCCCAGTGTAAACCACTACTACAATATATGACCCAGCTAGGACCTAGCTGCTGATTCTTCTCTGAGACTGCCCCCCCCGCAACTTCTTTATCTCCCTCCTGAAAGCACCTCCAATAGTCTGTTTTCCCTTCAGCTTCCCTCACACTCCCTGCCTGGATGCCCCTTGAAAGTGTTTGTGGGCCTAACCCAAACAGCCTCCTCCCTGCTGCTAACAATTCCCTCAAACTCCCTGTCTAACTGCCCCCCTGAAACACACAGTTCCCTGCATGACCCTTGCAGACACATACACCTGGCCAACCTCCTGGCCTCTTGCCGGTTGCTGAGCTCATGGTCAGATCAAAAACCACCTGGGGGGGGGGGGGGCATTGCATTTGGGGACTTTTCCGCCCTTCTCTTTACTGCCAGGAGCCATCTCAGATCCGGGACCAGCAACCAATTTCCTGTGGTTTAAGAGCCGTTTCTCCCACCGGTACCTACCTCTTCACTGTGCGGAGCAGGGTGGAGCGAGCCTCGTTGTGAAAGGTGATGATGATGCTGGTTGCTGGCAGTTCTGCATCATAGTGCACAGAGGCACATCTGAAACATGGGAGGGCAAACATTCAAACCAGATACAATACACAGCAGCCCTTTGCGAGAGATGCCTGGAATTTCCCAAAGAAAAACAGCCGAGTGTGGCACAGGGGTTGCAACCACCACACTGCCTGCCTACCATGGGAACCTCTACTGAGCTCAATGGGGTTAAGAAGGACAACAGGATAAAAGTTAAGTCACTACTAAAAAGAAAAAGACACTGACAGGACTGCAGTCTGACCGACAATACTAGGAGTGAATGAGGTCTAGTGGTTCAAGCAAGGGACTGGGTCTCATGACTACTGGATTTGCCACTAACTTGCTGTGTGATCTTCAGCGAGTTGAATAAAGTCTGTTTATCCCTGTGTAGAACAGGGACAATAAGTATCTGTGACAGAATGTACCCCTGCATCCACACGCTACACACTATTGTAATCATCTTTGTACAAAATAGGTCATGTAAGGTATCATTTGAAAACTCATAATTCGCTGTTCATTATTGTCCTGATAAAATATGTGTGGCAATACTTTTTTTGAAGTTATAAGATTCCACTGTATGGTGTTATTAACACATGTTCCAAACTGAGGACCAGTCTACACTACAAAATTAAGTGGACCTAAGTTATGTCGACGTACAGCCATTGCAGTCATTAAATCCCTTTTGCATGTCCATACTAGGCTCCTTGTGTCAGCAGTGCACGTCCTCACCAGGAATGCTTGCACCAATTTAACTGTCTGGTTGGGCATTGTGGAATGGCATCTGAAAGGCCACAACGGTCGATGGAAGCAATCCAGTGTCTACACTGATACTGCCTTGACCTAACTACATCGACCTAAGTGCTATGCCTCTCACGGAGGTGGAGTTATTAAGGCGGTTTAGTGGGTTAGTTACTCCAGTGGGAGCTGCATTTTACTGTAAACGCTTACAGAGTTAGGTCAATGTAAGCTGCCTTATGTCGACCTAACTCTATAGTGTAGACCAAGCCTCTGGTTGGCAAATTGATCTGTCTCACACAAAGGAATGTGTGCTCTGCGTAATTTGATTTAAGCAGTAAACAGTCATCAAGCAGGAAGGGGAGATAAAGGAAGCTCAAACAGGTGAGAAAAAAGCAGCAGGGAACATCCTGCCATATAGACCTTTTTTCTCCTGGTACCTAGCTGGAAATATTTTTCAAAAGGAGGACTGACACTAAAAGGACAAACATCCCAAGGCACCCTCCCTCTCTTTCCCTGCCCATCACATTCACAGCACCAGAAGCAACAAAGGAAGCATTCGTTGAACTGTGAGAGAAGTGGTCCTGACCTATGAAGTTTGATCAGTAAGACTGCTGAAAGCATATGCTGAGAAACTGCTTGAATCTGAAATAGCTTTTAAGCTAGGCACCAGTAGTGTTTTAACTTTATTTTCTTGTAAACATTTCTGATTTTTATACCTCATTACTTGTACTCACTTAAAATGTATCTCTTTGTAGTTAATAAACTTGTTTTATTGTTTTATCTAATGCAGTGTGTTTAAACTGAAGTGATTGGGAAACTCCATTGGGGGTTTCAAGTTATGTGCATATTATTTCTATTAAAGAAATAACAGACTATAGATAAATTTGTATTGTCCAGGAGAGGGCTGGGCTGGGTAGTATAGGACATACACTTCTGGGGGGAAATCTAGGACCTGGAGTGTGTGGGGTCACCTTGCACTATAACCTAGGCTGGTAAATGCCAAGATGTGGCTGGCTGGCTGCAGCACAAACACAGACATTGCTGGGAGTGACTTGCAGGCTGGAGGTTGTTTGTGAGCAGTCCAGGCTGGAGGCTACAGCAGCAAAGCATTGTAAAGGGCACCCCAGGTTAGAGGGTAGGGGTGACACAGCTACTCATTAGTCTGGATTGTACCCTGGTACGTCACAGTATCTATACAGCATAGTTGGGAGGTTTCAATGGTTGGGGTTTGTAAAGCACTTTGAGATCCTTGGATGCCAGGCCCTAGAGAAGGGAAAGCACTGTCATTATTTGTTAAAGATCTGCCCACGGGCAATGGCTTCTCTTTCAACCACCAACATCTCTGCTTGGCAATGGAAAATGATTCCCCTACACTACCAGGAAAATATCAGGATCAAGATATTACAGTGTTGCCAAATGGAAGGTTGTATCAAAATTTGAATTTGTATCACTAGAAGCCAGCATAAAATCTGAAACCACAAAAGAATGCTAGGGGATGAGGAGGTTTAAATTTCTTTGAATGAAAAACACTCTCTCGTCTTACTTTACTTGCATGACAAGCACACAAATCTATTCACTGACTAAGAGCCAAGATTTAGCCTAGGGTGAACTTGTGCCAGGATTTCTTACACCCCAGGAGAACAAGGATTCATTCCCATGACTCCAAGAATCTGTTTTCTCCTGCAGCTCACCATGTATGTTTTGCTTGTAACCTTTGAACTCAGCTCGGTTTGTGCCAGAATTCCAGTTTGGTGTTCTGATGTGGAATGTGTGGCTATTTATAGTAGTTACAAATAAAACGTTGAGATGAGAAAAGAAGGGAACCTGAAAATCTGAATTATATACCAACAGCACTGCTAATGCAAAGCAACAATAATGTACTCTACATGAGCTCTTCCCTTCTGGAGGGGGTGGTTTATCAAAGCCTTATGGATTCCCCCCACGCAACTTCCCTCTTCATAAAGGCCCTTGCAACAACCATTTTTTCAAAGCTCATCAAGCCAGAGGAGTCTCTGTTAAGTGAAATGGGGTGCTCCTCCTTCCTTCCGGGTCTGAGAATGCTGCAGCCACAGTATTCCCGGCCACTGCTAATTTAGTAGCAATAGGCTACTCTCCCAGACCTTCCTCTTATGAGGTAATGTATCAAGATTTCATAAAACCATTAGGTCAGGGCACTATATCCTCCATCCAAGACTTTGAATTTTCTTTGCTACACGAGCAAAGACTGTGGGATCCACCCCACCCATCCAGCATGAGCCCACGAATTCTAGCTCCAGCCTCTGCCATGTTCTGGGAATGACAGATTTGGGCTGATCTGCTCCTCCATAGCCCCGCCACCCAAGTTTGTGGCAATGACAAACATCGGCCAGTTCAGATTCTCACATTTCAGATCAAATTCCCACCCTTAGTATTGGGGCCTGACATTTTTGGCTAATCAAGGCCACATTTAGACTGAATCCACCCCAGGACCTAGGGGAAATAACTGACTTCTTCCCATGACTTATTAGCTCTATGTTTATTACAGCATTTATTACCATTGTTTTATGACTATTACTTAAACTGTTGCCATTCTTTCCCCGCACATTTATTGCCATTGTTTACAACTATTCTAAGTGCGGACTATTTTGTTCCTTACAGAGTGTTACTACTGTGACAGTGGCTTATTACTGCAATTTTCAGGCATATAAAGAAGCCCTGATCAAGACAAAGTGGAAGACTTGTGACCAGGCAGGAGACATACTGTATTTATTATTGCTTTAAAATAACTGGGTGGGTTGTTTTTTTAAGGACTATTAAGATGACAAGATGTGGGCAAGTACAGAGATTTGTCTATGCTTATTTGGAAAGGGGTTCCCAGCTCCTCAGCAAATTTCAGAGTCACATCAGGGGAGGAAGAAGCTGATATAAAAAGGTTCGGTCTCTCTTTGTGCTGGGTAGAATAATATTAGTCTCTTTTATCCAAAGGATCCCAAAGTGATTGAAAAACTGTATGAACTAACTATGGGCCACAAGTTCAGGCATGTCTCAGCTCTACTTCTGTGCCTGGGGAAAGAGGAGAGTCATAGGTGGCCTTTTGACCTGTGACCTTTAAGGCAGCCAGGGGCCAGTTCCTCTCCTGGCACAAGCAAGAGCAGCCTCAGGGATTTTCTAATTTGTATAATCTGAAATGACTTTCAGGGGGTGTTCCATTAGCCTAGGAGTGCCACAGCACAGTGTAACCTGACATGCCCCATTCTGCCCCAACATGCCTCCAGAATAACCACTGCACTGGAGGGGAGGGCCAGCCACCTACACTGACTTGATGCCAGTCGGGATGTGTCTATATTGCAGCTGGGAGTTGCGGTTCCCAGCTTAGGTAAACAGACTTGCACTAGCTCAACTCAAGGTAGTGCCTAAAAATAGCAGTGTGGAAGTGGTGACACAGGTGATAGCTTGGGCTAGTCGCCCAAGCTTGGACCCAGGGGGCCGGTCGGGTGGCTAGCCCAAGCTGCCAGCTGTGCTACAATATCCACCCTGCTATATTTAGGTGCTAGCTCGAGCTGAGCTGCAGCTCCCACCTGCAGTGTGGACCTAGCCCCAGGGATTCTCCTCTGCAAGAGGAATCCCCAGCTGCCCTGCAGCTCTCCGTGAGAGCAGCACAAAGTGGATGAAGAAGGGGCCTTGGATCTGGCCTTAGGTTTACAGAAATCACTGTGTATTCTCTTCCTTAGGGCATGGCTACACTTGCAGATGTAGAGCGCTGTGAGTTAAACCAGCCTTCGTAGAGTGCAGTAGGGAAAGCGCTGCAATCTGTCCACTGACAGCTGACAGCGCACTGGCATGGCCACATTTGCAGCGGCATTGGGAGCGGTGCATTATGGGCAGCTATCCCAGCATGCAAGTGACTGCAATGTGCTTTTCAAATGGGGGTGGGGTGGGGTGGAGTGTGACAGGGAGTGTGTTGTGTGTATGTGGAGGGAGAGAGAGTGGGTTTTTGGGGTGCTGAAAATGTGTCAGTGTGCTGTCTTGTAAGTTCAGACCCCCTTCCTCTCTCTCACTCACTCAAAGCAAACAGTAAATGTTTGCTTTTTCTCGGAGCTGATAAGCAGCCGGCTTCTCCGAAATGGAGCTTTGAAACAGCATTTCTGCATTCCTGCAGCCAATTTCACAATGACAAAAGTGGCCACTGTATTAAGGGGATTATGGGACGTTTCCGGAGGCTGATCAGGGCGCAGTAAAGCAACACCTCATTCACACTGGCACTGCGGCGCACCAGTGGGGACACAGCAAACGTTATTCCACAGTGTGGACGGGGAGTGAGCTAGTGCGCCCGGGGCTCCTTTACTGCGCTGTAACTCGCAAGTGTAGCCAAGCCCTTGGACTTTTTGCTGTTAAGCCCAAAGACTGTCTTCCTCTGTTTTAGAGGCACTTACTACATGTTGGGTGCTACAGCAATCAAAATAGATAAATAATAATTCACCAGTGAACTGCACCCATTTCTCTGACAGAGCACAATAGCTGATTATCAGAGAACAGCAGTTCTACCCAGCAGGAAGTGGTGTGTTGTTAATTCCATATGTGGCACTGTTGCCTTTGGGTCATGAAGGAACCAGTCCCTAGCACGGTGCTTGGAGCAGAGCTCTGTGCTGCTGGAGGAGCCATCTTTCAGAGGAGGTATGTAGCCAAGATCCTGACCACCTGCAGTCACTATAGGTCCAACCGTGCCAACCGTAAGGCTGTGGCTGTTAACCCTGGATTGCTGATTCCAGTTTAGGTAATTACTCCTTGGCTCCACACATTCCCTGTGCAGTTTCCCTTCTTGCCCTATATTGCTGTGCAGTGTCAGGCAGCGTCTGCATTCCACCCCAAAGGTTCATTTCAGAAGTGAGTAGAGTGGGTCTGTTCTTGTTCAGGCCCTTACACCACACCTGCCATCATCAAACATACATCATCAAAGCCCTGTGTTACAATGATCTTCTATTTCTGTAGTACCTTTCACCCAAATGTATAACAGTTTAAGACAGTGAAGATATTAATGGCTTAAGGAGGGTGTTAGTCAGCAGAATGAATTTCCCCACCGTGAAAAAAGCCAAGAGTGTGGGTGTTTTGCAAAATGTATAAAAAATGTCTGGTGTGAGTAGTAAATAAACGTGTTGGTCTCATCTGAACCACATCTGCATACATCCCAAACCCACCACACAGTGTGGAAAGACTGGCTCTCACTGCTCCAGAACACTACAGGCCAGAGACGGTTAGGGCCTGAGAGGCGAGGCGTGTTCGGGAAGAAGTGCAGGTCTGCACTAACAGAGTGTGTTGCAGGTCGGGATGGATGTTCACTGGGAAATCTGTGGAAGGAGGCAAGAAGGACAGGTGCAGGCTGGGTGGTTTGAGTCGCCATGGCAGGTCTATGCAGGGCTGAAATAACAAGACAGAGCTCTAGGTCTGGGTTAAGGCTATTGGCACAGCACGGCAATGGGGGGTGGTGCAGGGCTGGAATAGCAGGAGTCTGTGTGTGTTCATTCAAGACCCACAAGATCCTGTTGGAGAAACAGAAAGCTAGGTGAAAGGGAGACCCTGCCAATGCACACAATCTGTTCTTCACTAACAGGGGGCATAACAACACAGGGATGGCAGGGGTAACGGGAACCGAGAGGCCTCAGCACAAGAAGGTGGCCCTGGCTTTGAACAAGGGTAGTGTGGTACCTGTAATGCCTGGTGTCCCGAATGGGCCGGTCACTGCTGAGTTTGTCGCTCTCCATCTGGTTAAAAGCATGTTGTCGGTATGGGTCTTCTCCGGCCTTCAGCAGCTTGGAGGACAGGTAAGCCTTTTCATCCAAACCCCTCAGGCTGCTCTTCTCTGCTTGTGGGACTCTGGTCACCTAGAACAGACACAAGTGTCAGAGCACATGGGAGAGAGGCGTACTAATGTGTCAAAAGTAAATTCAGCGTGATGCACAATCGCACACACAGCCACGTCACTGAGGGCTTTCCTATACTTGGAGCTGGTGGCGTGATTCCCAGCGTGAGGAGACAGACCTGCGCTGGCTCTCATCCAGCTAGCACACAAAAAAGCAGAGCGTAGCACAACCAGCTGGAGAGGCTAACCACCCTGAGTATGTGCCAAGCATTTCAGACGTGTACATACTCAGGGCAGCTAGCCCCTCCCACCAGTCGCACTGCTGCAGCTACATTTTGTTTTTAGCATGCTGGCTTGATCAGAGCTCACACAAGTATGTCTCCTCGAGCTGGGACTCATCTCCAAGTGCACAAACCCCCACTGCACTCTGGCAGATGCACAGATACAATGGTCATGAGGGCCGTGTAAGAACCAGAACAGAAGTCCTGTCAACACTATGACTCAGAGTTGACATGTCAGCATCATATCCCACTTCCCACTTGGGCTGAAAATAGTTTGGCTGCCAGTGTAGACAGGGCCAAATCATGGTTAGCACCTATAACACAGAGTGGGCTAGACTCCATTTGCCTGAACGCTCTCCCAGCTCAGAGGGGATGTGGTTTTGCCAGCAGGTTCCAGGCGATAGGGTCAAAGAAAAATATTTGTTAAAGTGGTTGAGAAAAGCCATTGATGAGCCAGTTGTCAATAACGGCTCCCACATTCACATGGAGTGAATTTAATGCTGGGCTTCAGGTGCCAGCATGGCAGCCCTGCACCTGAATTCTGTTCATGGAATGGGTACAGATTTCACCTCCTCTGTCTACCTTAGTTAGCAATCTTAGGTATTAGCTTGCTTTCCCCAGAATGTAGATTACACAATTACATGTCCAACACAGCGTAATGCCGACATTTGACAACTAGTAATACAGACACTGGGAGTGGAACAAGACAAGGACACAGCTTCAACCCCCACTGAAATACATTGGAGCAGACAGAGGTTTTGGTTGAAGAGAAAAAACAGTGGTAAACTATTTGCTTAAAAACACAAAGGGACTATTGGTGTCTGTGCAACATTAGGAGTTTAAAAACCAGAACAAATTATTTACAGCAGCAGAATCTGATGGCACAAGCCAAGCCATGCACAGCTGGATATAATGGCCAAATAATTTTCTCTACTTCCGTGTGAAGAAGCGATTGAAATCTGTAGGATCCCAGCTCTGTGGGAAAACATGGGTGGATTCTATGGCATCATTCCCACCTTCTCCTAACCCCACAGAGGTGGGCGATCCAGGGATACTGGGATCCCCTGTCTACATTAATTCTGATTTCCTCAGTGTTAGTCTTGATCAGGTTTCTGCTTCTGCAATGGGACTCCCCTTTAGAGGGTGCCTGAGGGCAATGGCCTAGGAGTAGTCCCTAGTAGCACAGCTATTGCATGAGTTGTGCTGTCATACAGGTGGGATGGGAAGCAATGCAGAGACCTAAAACCTCTGCAGATCCTGGAGGATTCTGAAGATTTAGGGTGCCAAATTTCCTGCCATTTCCAAAAGGAGGCAACCCCAAGACTTCAGAGAGACCTAAAAGAGCTAGATAACTGGGCAACATGAAGACAAATGAAATTCAATGTGGACAAGTACAAGGTAATAAACCCTGGAATGGAACTGAATTACTCATGAACACTAATGGATTCTAAATTGACTATAACCACTCAGAGTAAGTACCTGAACATCCCCATGGACAGATCAAGGAAACCCTGCACTTGATGTGCAGAGGTGGGAAAACAGCAAGCAACGTATTGGAATATATGGAGCAGGTCGTCAAGGAATCATGGTGCAGGTCCTCTAGTAATAAATTCTGAAGCACTTAGAGGAGAGGAAAGTGATCAGGAACAGTCAGCATGGATTCACCAAGGGCAAGTCATGCCTGACAAACCTAATAGCCTTCTATGACGAGATAAATGGCTATGTAGATGAGGGGAAAGCAGTGGATGTGTTATTCCTTGACTTTAGCAAAGCTTTTGACACGGTCTCCCACAGTATTCTTGCCAGCAAGTTAAAGAAGTATGGGCTGGATGAATGGACATAAGGTGGATAGAAAGCTGGTTAGATCGTCGGGCTCAACAGCCACTGATCAATGGCTCCATATCTAGTTGGCAGCCGGTATCAAGTGGAGTGCTCCAAGGGTCGGTCCTGGGTCGGTTTTGTTCAATATCTTCATTAATGATCTGGAGGATGGCGTGGATTGCACCCTCAGCAAGTTTGCAGATGACACTAAACTGGGAGGAGTGGTAGATACACTGGAGGGTAGGGATAGGATACAGAGGGACCTAGACAAATTAGAGGATTGGGCCAAAAGAAATCTGATGAGGTTCAACAAGGACAAGTGCAGAGTCCTGCACTTAGGACGGAAGAATCCAATGCATCGCTACAGACTAGGGACCGAATGGCTAGGCAGCAGTTGTGCAGAAAAGGACCTAGGGGTTACAGTGGATGAGAAGCTGGATATGAGTCAACAGTGTGCCCTTGTTGCCAAGAAGGCCAACGGCAATTTGGGCTGTATAAGTAGGAGCATTGCCAGCAGATCGAGAGACGTGATCATTCCCCTCTATTCGACATTGGTGAGGCCTCATCTGGAGTACTGTGACCAGTTTTGGACCCCACACTACAAGAAGGATGTGGGAAAATTGGAAAGTGTCCAGCGGAGGACAACAAAAATGATTAGGGGACCCTGAACACATGACTTACGAGGAGAGGCTGAGGGAACTGGAATTGTTTAGTCTGCAGAAGAGAAGAATGAGGGGGGATTTGATAGCTGCTTTCAACTACCTGAAGGGGGGTTCCAAAGAGGATAGATCTAGACTGTTCTCAGTGGCACCAGATGACAGAACAAGGAGTAACAGTCTCAAATTGCAATGGGGGAGGTTTAAGTTGTGTAGTGGGGTGGTTATCCGCTCCTGCCCTGTGGGGCTTAAAAACCCGCCCTGGGAGAGAGCTAGGGCTGAGGGCAAGAAAAGCTAGGCTGATTGGGGAAATGACCGCAGCTGGGCCATGGCCCAATCAGGCCGCAGCTGGGCCAAAAAGGGGCTGCTTGGCTGAAGCTTAGCCAGTCTCTCCCTGCATTCAGAGAGGGAAGGACCTGGCTGCAGAGACCTGAGGGAGTACCTAGATTGGAGCAGGGCTGAGGGGGAAAGGCTGGGGAGCTCTGTCCTGAAAACCCCAGGCTGCAAGGCCTAGATTAGGGCCTATTAGGTACTGGTGTTGCAAGGGGGCAGACAGAGGCAGCAGGTCCAAACCCCCTCATCTGTGATGAGTGGCTGATATACTGCAGGCTGCCCCGGGGAGCGGGACTAAGCGATGACTGGCAGTAGCCAAGACTGAGGCGAGGTGGGGGTAGTTGGTGGGGGTTCCCTGGGGATGATAGACCCTCAGGGAGTGTTGGGGTTTACTGCCAGGGGGCAGCACCCAAGTGGGAGGAGGCACTGGGTCCTGGGAGGGACTGGGGCTGGCGGTAAAGCAGATCACCAGACAGCAGAGGGCGCTCCACAGGCTGACAAGCTAATTCCCAAGGACAACCAGCAGGAGGTGTCGCCGGGTGAGTCTGGCTCTATTACAGTTGGATGTTAGGAAAAACTTTTTCACAAGGAGGGTGGTGAAGCACTGGAATGGATTACCTAGGGAGGTGGTGGAATCTTCTTCCTTAGAGGTTTTCTAGGTCAGGTTTGACAAAGCCCTGGCTGGGATGATTTGTTTGGGGATTGGTCCTGCTTTGAGTAGGGGGTGGACCTCCTTAGGTCCCTTCCAACCTGATATTCTATGATATATGAAGAGAGAGACAGAGAATACTGAAACTACTGCAATGCCATTATATAAATATTTTCATGGTGAGAGTGTAAGTTTTGTCAAACCAATCTCCAAAAGGATATAGCAGCAACAGAAAACTTTCAGCGGTGGATGACAAAAATTATTACAGGGTTGAGGAAAAGTTAAAAGGATTAAGATTGTTTAGTTTGGAAAGGAGATGAATAGAAGAGGGGACAAAATAAAGGTCCAGAAAACAATGAATGCTATAGTGAAGATCAGTCAGGTGCTCAGCTTACCCTCTCTCATACTACAAGAGCAAGGGGATGTTTGATAAAATTGAAAGGCAACAACACACTTATCAATAAAAGGAAATATTTTTCAATACAAAGCATAGTTAACTGGTGGAACTCATTGCCAAAAGATATAATTGATTCCAAGAGCATAGTGTGATTCAAAAAAATATTAGAGATGTATACAGTCAGTTTCACTTCCTGGTTCTCAAACACTAACCTCTTGCTCTTGAATTTCACTTTCACTGGAAGGGAAATTTTCACTAGTCATAAAAAACTTAGAAACTTTTTTCTTTTTAAATTTCCATTCCTATTAGGTTTGGTAAAACTGACATACTCCCCAAAAACACAGCTTAAATTCTAGGAACAAGCTATTTGAGCATGTCTCTTTAAATGTTCTGCAATCACTCAGTGTCCCTCCAATAGTTAGTCTTGCACTTCCATGCCCTGGCAGAGTAACAACTGCTTTCATTCTCTAGCGTTATAGATGCATGAACAATGCACATGGTTCTGCCAGTGGTAACAACCCTTTCAGAGCCATTTAATTTAAGGATAAATGGCTACAAGTAAGTCATCTAGAGTTTGTCTCACATTATTACTTTTTAAATCTGTTGTATAAATAAAAACGTTTGGAATGTTTTTTAGCCAAAATTGTTTCTAGTTTTTCATCCTCAGTCAGTATCTTTTTATCCCATATGTAACATTAAGAGTCTGATTATATTTTCTTTGCACAACCAAAACTTCTAGGAAAATAAATAGGAGTTCTCATCTCCCATTAATTTCAGTAGGAACAGAAGCAGATCCTAAATTAGTAAGGCCAGGAAAACCTATTGAAATATAATGAAATCTGTCTTCGTCCTTCACCCAGAACTTAAACTGAACACTGAACCAAA